ATACATCTATTGATTGCTGACTGACCTGAATGTCAAGCTTCTAGAAATTCTCCGACATTCTTTGTGTTTCCTCTCTCCATCCAAGATTTCTACATTGTCGAAATTGAATTCATGTCCATAGTTGTTATCCACGTGCATTGAAATGAGGGATGAAATGTTGTGACGTTTAATAGCCAATTGGTGTTCATGTAGATGAAGGCGAAGAGGGCGACCGCTTTGTCCAATGTAGTGTTGACTACAGTTATTCCAGTTGATTTTGTAAATGATATTGGGTTTGTCTTCTTTGTTTGTTGCATCCTTTGGTCTGCATAATAGTGTTTGGAGGGAATTTGTTGTTTTATGAGCCACACCAATTCCAAGTGGTCTCAGTAATCTTGTCGTGATTTCTGATATATTGTTTATGTATGGTAGGATGATGCATTTATTGATTTCTGTGGATGACTTTGTAGTTGATGATGTGTGGGATAGGCATCTTCTGATAAAGTTTTGTGGGCAAGCGTTCCTCTTTAGAGTGGACATCAAGTAATTTTCTTCGTTTCTCCGTGAATTTGTTGTGCTGCAGTGTGTTCTCGCTCTTCTGAATAGAGTCTGCACGCAAGTGATCTTGTGTGTTGTTGGGTTGTTGCTAGTGTAGTTGAGGACTTGGTTAGTCTGTGTTGGCTTCCTGTATACTTGGGTTTCCAGCTTTCCCACATTTGCCGCCCTCTTTGTCTTCGTCTACATGAACACTAATTGGCTATTAAACGTCACGACATTTCATCCCTCATTTCAATGCACGTGGATAACAACTATGGACATGAATTCAATTTCGACAATGTAGAAATCTTGGATGGAGAGAGGAAACACAAAGAATGTCGGAGAATTTCTAGAAGCTTGACATTCAGGTCAGTCAGCAATCAATAGATGTATAGACATAGAAGCAACAAGAAAGATGGTAAACGACAGAAAGTTCAGAGGTGAAGCAGAGGAATAGCCAACAGGAAAGTCAATACAGTCAGTCAGTGACACAACGATTGAAGGAAACAACCAACCACAGACCACATCGTCAGAGCAAGCTACTAAATCACTAACGGAGAGATATTGATAGCTCACTTCATACTGAAGTTAGTGCTGATGATGTGGTCAAGATGGACGATGAAAGCTTCACGATTAAACAGCCCAGTTCAGAGAACACAATACAACCAATACGATTTTAGATTTGTTTATTTGATGCATAATACACAGTGAGTATTACAATATTATTTACTTGATGATGACGTTTCAAGCATAAATTATTACCGCTCATAATCATTATCAATGAAATCATATTACTTTCGACATCTGCTTCCTTTATACTTCTGTCACCTTATATTCTTTAGTCTTACTGGTAGTATAATTTTTATAGATCTCTGTCTGGTATAGGTGTTGCATGATTCCTATCATATGTTCTGTATGGTGTGGATTCGATAAGCAAAAATTCAATAATCAACCTCTCTCTCTCCACCTAATTATATTGGATTTGAGCACAGTGGTTTTATTCCACCCTATTGTATGGTTGTATATTAATGCTTGGATTACACTAGCCGAGTTTTTACAAGATTTATTGATCTTATTCGGATCTGTCATTCTATCTTTAGATAAGTTCTCATGTTCCACTATTCTAATTGACTCTGACTGACTAGTGTGACGTATATACTTGACCTTATGAAGAAATCAAGAAACCTTGAGATGCAGTCAGCCGATCTGATACACCGACTAAAGTCATCTCTAGGTGGGTCTATATGGCTTAATGTAATGCCTAAAATTAACAATCCTAGCAGAATTTATGGTAATATTAAAGTTTATAAACTAGATTATCTTATTAGACCCATAGTTGACTTCAGAAACACTCCAACATATGAACTAATAGAGTACTTAGCATCGATATTGTTATCCTATTAGGAACCGTTTAAATTCCAGACTAGTTAACTCTTACGAGCTAAAACTATGGCATGATGACCTAAATATAAAAGGGGATAAAAAAAAATGATTAGTTTCGATATAACAAGTCGTTTTACCAAGATATCAATCGATATGGCACTGGAGACAGTCACAAATCAACTAAATATTGACTCAGAACTTACAGAACCAAGATATTGGTTGATGGGAGCCTATTAGGCGTTCAGTTGTGCCTGACCTCCACAACCCTTGAAGTTTGAGGACAAAATATACAGACAAACAGAAGGAGTATCAATGGCATCACCAATATTCCCAATCGTAGCAGATACATTTATGAGTAGTTAGGAACAAACGACTTCACGAATGTTCAATACTGCACATTCAGATATGGTGGTGATATGTGGATGACACATTTGCTGTGTTGATATCGGAACATATCGAAGGTTTCCTCATACATATAAACTGAGTAGTAGGCGCAATCCAATTCACTTACGAGGTAGAAAATGAACAAGGAGAATTATCTATATTGGATTGCTAGTTAAAATGAGGAGCATAGGGTGGTTTAGATACTGTTTTCTGCAGGAAACCAATACACTCTACCAGTAAGTAACCTTGGTGATGTGATCCAATGTCGGTTAGGTTGAAATCAGTCAATTGTCTAAATAATAGAAATAGAATAGTGATTAGTCGGTGGAAGGATGTGAACAGGTAGCTGGAGCACGTAAAAGAAGCACTTAGAAGAAGTGCTGATAGTTGATAATTAATGTTCTCAGTTTATTAAGAAATTCGTACGAACACACAAGAAACGAAAAGATAAGAGTAACACGAGTATGAATGATAATGAGGACAAGACGAGTAGAGAGGAGTTTACATCCGATAAGGAATGTGTATCAGGAACTTTGCATGGGATCCTCAACAAATCTGGAATTAGGGTGACATTGCAACCTACAAACTCAATCAGAGATAAGTTTTGTCGGCTGACTTAAGGATCCGATCGAACCAAATAAGCGAAATAATGGAATGTACCAAATTCCATGTAATGATTGTGAGTCAGGTCAGGTATATAGGTGAAACTAGCTGATTGGAGTCAGTTAGAACAGCGGAACATAGGAATTTAGTTAAATATAGAATGACAGCCTAGTTAGATCAACCACTGTCCTCAAATCCAATATAATTAGGTGGAGAGAGAAAAGAGAATACTGATTATTTTTTTTCTATTCATCGAATCAATACCTAACACATGTAATAGGGATGACGCAACACGTATACCAGAGATATGGAAAAAATTTTGCTACCATTGGAAACAAAGAATAAGAGGTGACAGGATCATAAAAACAACAGATATTGAAAGTAGTGTGGTTACATTGATATGATTATGGACGGTAATAATTTATACTCATAACTTCGTTATAAAGTAAATTATACTATAACACTCATTGTATGTTGTTATAAAGCAAATAAACAAATCTAATATGGAGTTACATTGTGACATATTGCCTAAGTTGTACACTTTATATTCCACTGAGTATATTTCATCAACTTGTATTTCAGTTTACTTTAATCTTTTAAATACATTGACTATTCCCATTTAGACATTTAGAAAAAGACTGGCTGAACGAAGAAATTTATTCCTTTTCAATTAGGTCTTCATCTTGACCTTTATACTAATATATAGGGGGTTTACAATTTAATTAAATTGCCAATCTCGTGATGATGTTTCAGAAATAATGATGTAAATAATCAATAGAGTTACTAAAATAGGAAATATGAATATTGATAGAAACAAGAAGGGGGAAAAAGGTTTACAAAATCAACCTAGAAGTTACATCATGTTGATGGCCATAGTAATGAAAGTGGTCGAACAAACTTATTTTGGATACAATGGTGTTAGGTTTGTGAAGGTGGATTACAATCGCCTCTGCTATGTGAAGTAACCGAGTGCATAATCCATGAGATAAATGAATTGGAATCTGATACATGATTTTGAAGGCTTTTCTAGTAACCACTTGATGTCCTGTGATAACTAAATCTGCAAGTATGGAGCTGTTTATAGTTCTAATTTGTCCCTTACTTATTAAATATAAGTATCCTAAGAATAGTACTAGCTGAATAAGCGACCCCCCACGAAAATTACACTCTATTTAGGATTCATTCCCAAGTCCAGAGTAGATGCTGATGTAATGCCAGCTGCCCGTTTCGTATTAGTCCCTTTAATACTATTGTTATTATTAACTCTATTCATATGCAATAGTTATTGCTTTCTAAAATTATTGCACAGGGAGCGTATTTTGTTGAGATATATTACCAGCTGAAAATTCCATAATGTATCACACATGTTCGGAATAAAGCGATTATTATTATTATTATTATTATTATTATTATTATTATTATTATTATTGAAGTGAATCTCGACACTATTATCTGGTTAGTAATATGAAAAGACTATGGGTTTTTTGATCTCAGCTATCTTTATAGCAGTGCCTGCATGTGTGAAAATCATCACGTGAGCAAATATCAGGTTAGGTGAAGAGAGCACTTTTCAAGGAAGGCCAATTGATCGATGAGTTTGTGAATATTCACTGACTAAGATGGCTTGAATATTTGTTATGGATCTCGAGCCATTGACCATCTCGACGTGCATTGCTTAGAGAAGTTGAATTAGGTTGGAAGTGGGTTCAGGGTGGCTAGACTAAGATGTGGCAACAGTGTATGATGTCTCTGATTGTTGCTCTGAGCTGTATGGGGAGATGTGGACAACCTGACTGCGATCATCAAAATGATATGAAACAGTGGTTGAAGACTCTTGGTGACATGACTGAAAGTCCTTGATGTTTTCTAAAGCTTGAATATTTTGCCCCAGCCATTATCTTCAGATTACTTATTCTCTAATTCACCTTATTATACTTTGATTTCAATATTTTTATGTCCACTTTTACTTTACATGCTCTTGTAATGTGTGGTAATTGACTTTGATACACTTGCGTCTGGGGTTCTACGTCGTCTTTGGCTATCTGTCTATCTGTGTATTTCGGTATGATTTTAGAAATCAGTAAACTTGATACTTTCTTTTACCATTTTCTTAGGGTATACCATTATCTCAGATGCGTAATGACTTCAAGGATACCGTAAAACAGTGGTCATCATTGCCAGAATCTAAACAGCTGGTTAGTTTTTTTTAAACTAACATTTTCATACAAAAAGCTTTTATGATAATTATTTTAAAAACACTTGTATACTAAACGTTTGATTTAATTCGGGGAGAGAAAATGATAAAGAAGTGTGGGGTATTATGATTATTTTCGATAATGTTTCAGTTTTCTGATTTCAGTTATTAAATCTTAAGATATCCATTATTATGCTACACAATGGTAGTGGTAAAAAAGTGGACCCCTTTTTTCTTCAGGTGAAATTCCCTAACGATTTGAAAAAAATATTTATGAGATGGACTTTTTTTGTAACCTTTAAGATTCTAATTGTCATATTGAGACTGACTACCATCTATCTGTGGCTCATTGGTTTGGATAGTTGATCTTCAATCATTGAGTCACGGGTTCGAACCCTACTTCGACTACTGAGGTTAAAGAGTCACGTAGTGTCATTAACTTTTTTTGGGGTGGGGGGGGGGTGGGAAGGGAGAGTTATATGATTAAATTCTTTTAACCACTTCACTGTGCTGCCAGTAACACAACTATCAAAGGAAACAACTAATCGCAAACCACTTCGTGAAGGCAAGCTACTGAATCGCTCATAGAGAGATATGGACGGCTCACTTCATATTGAATTTAGCGCTAACGATTCCGTCTGTAAAGATACGATTATATCACCTGGCTCAGAAAACGCAATGCAACCAAGATATATATACATGTTAGCAGAAAATCTTCCTTCTGATAGTTTGCTTTTTGCAACGCTTCGCATCATCATACAACAGAGCATAGAATGGCAATCAGCTCTCTACCTCAACTTCATCGACTTTGAGAAGGCCTTTGACAGCGTCCACCGACAAGTAGTTTGGAAACTGCTTCAACACTACGGTTTTAGTGCCACAAACCTTTATCAATCTAATTCAACAACTATATGAAGACGCCACATGCCAAGTAATTCACAATGAGAAGCTCAGTGATGCTTTTGAAGTGAAGACAGGAGTGAAACAAGACTGCCTACTATCACCCATGATCTTCCTGGTTGTAGTGGACTGAATCATGCAGCAGACAACAGTGAAGAGCGAGAAGAGGGGGATACGCTGGCTGGACCGGGGAAAAGAACCTAGGAGACTTGGATTTCGCCGATGACTTGCGTCTGATATCACACAAACTTGAAGATGTACAGGCGAAAACTAACAAGTTGACAGAAGGAACAGCGAAGACGGGACTTCAAGTGAATGTAGAGAAGACATAGGTAGAGGTGATGAAGATACCGCACCAACAACTCCAACAACAACAACAACAAACTCCAGTCAACATCAACGGGCAAAACTTAAAGGAAGTAACCTCCTTCACCTATCTAGGAAGCACTGTTTCAACTACAGGCGACACAGGCACAGACGAGGATGTCAAAGTCAGCCATGATCAGAAAAGCAAGACAGGTGTTCATTAGCCTGAAACCAGTGTGGAGATCTTCTGCACTGCACTCAGCATACAGCGTGAACAACATCCGGATTTTCAACACCAATCCAGTCAAGTCAGTGCTTCTGTATGGTTCAGAGACTTGGCGCCTTACGAAAGGGATTTCCAATAAACTACAGACATTCATCAACAACTGCTTACTCTGGCTCGCTACTGAAGATCAGATGGATTGCCAGAACAATGAGAATAAGCAACAAGGAGCTCTGGCTGCCCTCGAACCAACTAAACGAGAAGCTATCTCTCAACAAATATGCACTGGAAGGAAGTGTAGATGGATTGGGCATACACTGAGAAAGGCGACTGGGGACATCCCGCGTCAGGCCAGGCCGTCGAGTGGAACCCAGACGGGAAAAGGCGAGTTGGGTGTGGGAGGTGATAATGACATGGAGGAGATGGTGCGAGGAGGAAATGAGAGGTTGTGGGCAGTCATGGATCCAGGTTGAAAAGATTGTAGAGAAGAGAGTGTAATGGAGACGTGGTACTGAAGCCCTATGTTCCATTAGGAACCCAAGGGACAAATAATATAATAATAATGCTGCACAACATCCTCTATCTACATTCACCTTGATGTTCAGTTAGTACTGAAAACACACATACGTACAAAAAATGTGAACGCCACTTATACGGAGTGTTACTTGATGTGAACTAGTCAACCCATCCACATACAGGTTGGTAGAGACCCTATCGATTCTATGAAAATACTTTTATAGAGTAGACTGAATGAAAAAAAAACATATTGTGAACATAAATTTTATGAAATCTAATCCACTTTTATACAATATCATGTTAATTTCACAATTGTCTCCTAATGGAATCATTTCAGTGAACACCATAATTTTGCAAAATAGCATTAAATTGGATAAGTTTTTAGCAGAGAAAATATTTAGCATTGATTATATATTCTTAACTAAAATGGAAGTTTTGATTCGATTCAGCTGATTTATGATGTAACTGGTAAACTTAAATTTCTGAATGATGTTGCCTGTATTATCTTGTTGTTAATTAGAGTGAATTGATCTGTACCTATTTGCATATGACTTCCTGCGTGAATGCCTTAATATATTACCAATAGTGATCAACTATTTTGGTCAATTAATGACGGGATAATACACAATCAGCATCAGATAAACTATATTTGTTTCACAAGAAGTAGTTATCATGGCTTACTGGTCTAGTGGATAACGCAGTGATGTTTGAAGCAACCGATCTCGGGGTAGAGTCTTAGTATGAACAATGTCGTGCACTAGAAGCAGGTACATTCAACTGACGTGTCTAAAGTAGGACGAAATGCGCCTCATGGATTTAACTGATAGCTGCTACCATCATTAATATTTAAATTTCTTTTTCCCACCTTATACATATATAAGTGAATACTTTATTCCTTTTTTAGGAGTATAATAAAACAGCAAAAGATTTGAAAGAGGATTATGAAGTTAAACTCAAAGAATGGGCAATGAAAAATAATCTACGCTACACGAAACGTGCCTCTTTATTGGCTCACAGATTTTACAAGTTGAATTATCCAAGTATAAAAAAACTTTGATTACCGTATTACTATGATTATACTATTACTATTGCTATTATAACTAAAAGCTGTATACTGTTCGATAATAATTATTCTACCATGTTCAATTATTTGTTTGTTTGTGTGTGTGTCTGTCTGTCTTTGTTGACGCCTTTCATGTGCATATAGGTCACACTTCATATAACCCGCTAAATTTCCTGATGCGCTCCGGTCTTCTTCAATGTACTAATTATTCTTTGACTTTTAGGGTCACTATATTGGCTACCAGATTTCTCATTTTCATCACATCGAAGTGATGTCTATCTATCTCTCAGTCTAGTGACCGTATTATAACAGGATTCGACCATTACTTACAACTAGAAGTTGGTTACTCAATCAGTATATTTGTGTTTCGTCGATGAGTTACTGCGAATGTCTGTGAAATCTTTCAACTCATTAGAGATTGTATCGCCAAGTCCCTATCTTGTTCTCTAGCTATTTGTATTCGAGAAAGTGATTTCCATGACTGTTGCATAAGTTCTATAGGTTTCTTCTAACTAGTGTATCATCTTAACTGTTGATAGTACTAGCTAGTAAACAGAAACTCTACTTGACCTACTACTGTCCATATTTGATTGATGTTGATATTCACTAACAAATTTGCGACATTGTCGAAATTCATATCATATCTGTTATCAAAAAACATCCATTGACTTTTGACAGGTGATAAGATTTATCAATGAATTCTGAATTTCTGGTGAAACAAACATGAATTTCCTTAAGGTTGTAGTGTAGACATGCTGTACTCCTGATTACCAATAATCGTGAAAATTAGGTGAACCGAGGCTTCTTACCTACCTACCTACCTACCTACCTACCTACCTACCTACCTACCTACCTACCTACCTACCTACCTACCTACCTACCTACCTACCTACCTACCTACCTACCTACCTACCTACCTACCTACCTACCTACCTACCTACCTACCTACCTACCTACCTACCTACCTACCTACCTACCTACCTACCTACCTACCTACCTACCTACCTACCTACCTACCTACCTACCTACCTACCTACCTACCTACCTACCTACCTACCTACCTACCTACCTACCTACCTACCTACCTACCTACCTACCTACCTACCTACCTACCTACCTACCTACCTACCTACCTACCTACCTACCTACCTACCTACCTACCTACCTACCTACCTACCTACCTACCTACCTACCTACCTACCTACCTACCTACCAACTACTTCCTGTTAATTGCCGTTCGCGTTTCCAATTGGTTATGAAATGGAATTTTTGTGAATAGAAACAACAGGTGACATTTAATGTGAATAGATTTTCGAAGTGGATTAAATTGATATTGGAAACTGAAAGCAGAATAATGTTTCGAAGAGATTTGTCAATGTTAAGATGACGTACATGCCCATGAAGGATCATCCATTCCATGATCTCATATATGCCAATAGGAATCGATTTATTCAGTGTAGTAGAACAGACAACTAGAAATTACAATGGATGGGAACTGGTTGTTGTATCGTAATGCAGAGTTAAAGTTCATTTCGATGATATGTGTGTAAGTGATGCGATAGCCAAGATTAATGAAGGGAAATGTAGCAAAATGCTCAACTGTTTAGTGGATTAATTTGATTTGTGCTTAGTTTCCATTACTTTTAAATATGTAATTCATTATTTGTCACTAATTAACCGTAATAAATGGTTTTACGATGCTGATTTAAGAGTCGAGGACGGAGATTTTTCAACGCTGGTGATTGCCAGTCTTTTGATTCACTTCGTAACTTCTTGAGACCCGTTTACCATTCCCACGCTTACCTAGTACTGTGGTTCGCTGAAGTCTCTTACGCGAAACGTTACACAACGCTTTATGGTCGGAAGGTACGAGTTAGATGGAAGCAGTAGCTCGATCTGGAAATAGTTGGGAGCTGTTGCAACGCATCCGCGTCATTAGCAGCAGCAAGACGCCAGGTGTCAATGAGATGCTCTGTGAGGTAGATGGTACACTTACAAACAATCTTCAAAGATGCCTAAAACTCTGGGATGAGCACTTCGCAATGCAGTTCAGCTAACCGACTGTTCCATCATCTTCAGTTCAGTGTATCGTTCTCCGTGGTCAATTAATGGTAATAATACAATACACTTAACGAAGTGGAGGTCCACACGGAACTCCATGTTCTGAAACGCCACAAGGCACCTTACCTAGGCAACTAGCCGGCATCTCTTCAGGGATGGAGGGACGACTCTAGTCAGGAAACTGACCGGATCGTTTGAGAAGGTATGGCAGGTTGAGAGTCTTGCATCACTTTGCAGTGAGGCCATCATTTTGCCCACCTTTAAAAAACGTCTGCGTAATGTATGTGACAGTCATCTGGATACTAGTGTTACCAGTCATGTCGAAAGTGTTGCTGCTATCATACTTCCCAAGAAATGATTTGCGATGAGGGGACGGGGTTTCGTTCAGTTCGTGGATGCATTGATCATGTGTTTACCCTCTGCCAGATGTTTGGACATCGCTACACGTATTGCAGGCCAACAATCGTTGTGTTTCTTGACTTTAGTGCTTCCTCCGATTCGTTAGACAGAGCTGTACTCTGGAATGTCTGTTGGAGAAAGGCGTGCCTGAGAAATTTCCTAACATCTTGAAATCCCTATGTAAAACAGCACCTCAGGTAGAGCGAGGGCATACAACCATTTGTCTCCATTGTTCCAAACCAGCAGTGTAGTTAGGCAGCGTTGCCCGATTTTCCCATTCCTCTTTAGCTTTGCCATCGACAACATTCTTGAAACAGCTCTGAAGGAGATGCCTGCTGGTGGTGTAGACCAACTACCCTGAGAACGGGTATTTGACTTTGAATATGAGGACAATATCGTCCAACTGAGCGATAACACACTGGCTACCCAAATTGCACTTAATCAGTTGACGATTTATGTTCATAAGTATGGTATAGTCTTTGCATCATCGAAGTGCAAAGTTCTTCTCCAAGATTAGCAGAGCCTATGCTTGCGCTCACCCTTGGTGGTGAGCCGCTGGTTCGAAGTACACAAACCCAACAGCCCGATACGTCCCATAATGTCCCCAACGCATAAGCTTGCCCAGTGGCTAGTATAATTACTGGATCCCATTAAAAAGCATCTCTGCCACGATCCGATATTTTCATTGTATTGCCATGGGAAGTCCTTTAGGTCCATTCCTAGCTGACATATTTTTGTCACACGTGGAAAACTCAGCCCAGAACTTAAATGACCAAGCCTATCTATATCGAAGATTTGTCGACGATATTCTAATTATCTGTGAAAATTTAAGTCAGTCGGCTTTAATTGTAAACCGATTGAATGAAGTACAGGACAGCATTTCTTTGACTTGAGCAGGAAAGGAAGATTCCTCCTTGCCATTCTTGGACATATTAATTAGTCGGCGACAGGATGGATCCATAAAACGATCTATCTACAGAAAGCCTACATAGACAAGGCATTATTTGAACTATTATAGCTCTTGTCCAGTTTAGTACTAGTGAGCGTTAGTTAGGTGCTTATTCAGTAGAATTTAACAAAGAAGCACAGAGGATACTTTGAAAGACAAAGGAGGAATATTGACTGAGATACTGTTTGAAAATGACTATCTATCAAAATTTATCTGGCAGCACAAAATAATCAGAGCGCGAAAACCAGATCTTCAGTTTATCCTAAAGAAAGGTGTCTTTATTAGTCTTTCTTACAAAGGTGACTCTCATAGTGCAATGGTTAAGCAGAGACTTAGTGCTACTGTTAGAAGGACTTCCTATGCAACCAGGGTTCGAGTAATCGAAACCACTATACCTATATCTTCCTCCAAACCCACAGAGCATCCGAATGACGTCACAACCCATTGCATCTACCAATTCAAATGTACGTGTGGTGACATACGTAGGGAGGACTAATAGGTCCATGCAAGTGAGGGCCTGGGAACATATTCCAAAGTGGCTTCAGAAGCAAATTAAATCACTCGAACCCATTAAGTTTGGTAGCAGATGTCCAGGTTCGTCGATCGCGAAACATATCGTTGAGACAGACCATAGGATGATGTTGTTACCTCCTTTAGACCTATTCACAAAACGTGTTGGAGATGGGTCCTTAAATTTGTTGACACCTTAGCTATCAGGAAGTTCAAACCACCTTTGTGTGTTCATAAACAATTTGCTGCCCACATTAAATCTTACTTGGTAAATTCACCTATGAAAACCAATGTAGTATCATTTTCGCTCTGATGATTCTCATTGTTATTCGGCCCTTAATTTAGCCTTCCTACTTGATCTCTTTTCATTGTCTCACCCCTTATCTTTATGAATTTTCGTATAAATACCTATGACAAGTACGTGTGTGATCAGATAGTTCGAAATGGGTTGCGCAAATACGTTACCTGGTACAGACAATTTATACAGTCTTCTTACTGTGCTTTATCTTTATCTACTTTCCTTCTCTTTATGTCTTCAAAATAATATTAAACTATTATGTGTGGCCCATTTCTTGGTGCTCTTGCTTTACTCGTAAGAGATAAAGCGGAGTATAACGCAGGATGTTGTATTGACAAAGGAGCCGACAAAAATTTGAAAACATGATGATTAAATGTTCAATTATGAAGTGTTATATATATCAACAAATTAATATGAAATAAATGCTACACCCTGTAATACAAATCTTCAATTGTGATCAAATGAAGATGGTTTACTGGTTTCAATCACCAACAAGCATTTATGTGACTTCACACAATTCATTCACCTCTACACGTCTAAAAATTAATTCCACTCATCAAGATGAAGGGACATACATTTCTCGTTACAATTCAGATTGTGCAATTATCAAATCATACAATGATTAAGAAAGCAACACAAAATTACTTTGTAAACAGTCCAGATGTGAATCACAAATCCTCATGCATTGAATTATGATATATTACAACTGCCACGACTGAAGTTGAAGTGTTGAACGCCATAAGGCTACTGAAATGCAGGAAAGCAGCGGGACCAGATGGAATCCCTCCAGAAGCACTGAGAGCAGGTGCAGAAACAACAGCGGATATGCTCATACCACTATTGCAGAAGGTCTCGAAGTAAAGGAAGGTACCTGCAGATTGATTGGAATAAGAGTAACCTTGTCAAACTCCCGAAGAAGGGAGACCTAAGTGTTTGCAAGAACTGACGGGGAATCACGCTGCTGTCCACACCAAGCGAAATATTAAACCTCATCATCCTGGAGTGACTAAAAGATGCCCCGGATTCAAAACTACGACCGGAACAGGCTGGCTGGCTGGCTGGATTCAGGAAGTACAAATCATGTGCTGATCAAATTGCAACTCTTCGCATCATCATTGAACAGAGTATAGAATGGCAGTCAACCCTCTACCTCGATTTCATCGACTTTGAAAACGCCTTCGTTCGATAGCGTCGACTGAGAAGTAATTTGTCAGGCAACTGCTTCAACACTACGGTTTTAGTACCACAGACCCTCATCAATCTCATTCAACAACTATATGAAGACGCCACATGGCAAGTAATTCACAATGGGAAGCTCAGTTCATTGATGCTTTTGAAGTGAAGACAGAGTGGAACAAGGTTGCCTACTATCCCCCATGATATTCCTGATTGTGGTCTACTGGACTGGGTCATGCAGCAGACAACAGTGAAGTAGCCTCCCTCACCTATCTAGGAAGCACTGTCTCAACTACAGGCGGGTGCACAGACACAGTTGAGGATGTCAAAGCCAGCCAGGATAGGAAAGCAAACAAGCCTTCATTAGGCTGAAACCAGTGTGGAGATCTTCTGCACTCAGCATGTGGAACAAGATCCAGATTTTCAACACCAATCCAGTCGAGTCAGTGCTTCTATGTGATGGTGGAGAGACTTTGCGGTTACGAAAGGGATTTCCAATAAACTACAGATAATCATCAACAACTGCCTACACTAGCTGGTTGCTGAAGATCAGATCGGAATGCCAGAATAATAAGAATAAGCAACAAGGAACTCTGGTTGGCTGGCTGGCAACAAACCAACGAAGCAAGAAGCTATCTCTGAACAGAAATGCAGAAGAAGGAAGTGGAGATTGATTGGAGTGAGCATGCACTGAGAAGACCGTTCGGGACATCACGTTGATGCGAGGCCGTTGAGTGGACCCAGATGGGAAAGGGCGATTTGGGCATGGGAGGTGAGGATGACATGGATTAGATGGTGTGAGGAAGAAATGAGAGGTTGGGCAGTCATGGAACCAGGTTGAAAAGATTGCAGTGAAGAGAGTGGAATGGAGACGTGGTAGTGAATCCGTATGTTCCATCAGGGAACTCAAGGGACAAATAATATAAATAAATAACAAAACTGCCGACCACTATGCAACATTCAAAACGATTTTTTGGCGAACATGGTAATATGAAGAATGATTTGTGAAAATTATAGAATTCTGATATTAGTGAATGAATTCGCTTAACGTTTCGATTACTTTCTTGTAGCTGCACTGTCACAATCGCCTACTCGATTCATCTGGCATCGAATTGAAGCTTCATTTAATAGACCTGAAAGAGAACTCAACAATCTGTACATTGTGTATGTAACTCGCATACACCTTTGCACACTTAATCTCTCATCGTTGACTTTATGAACAGAAAGTAAAAGCTGTGAATGATGATAATTTTCTCGAAGTTGTATGTGTAAACATCCATGATCGACAGGAGACTAACAAGTTAGTTCGATGCAGACTCTTATTCTTACACACAGGTTAGCACTGGAACAGGTAATTCCATATGGCACTTTTCTGTTTCATCTAGTACACCATGGTGTCAAGAGCCTTGATATAAATATGGGCTATAAATTGTGCTCGAAAGGTCATCTGGTAAATGACATTATCTCGTTGTGTGCTTATCAAATAGACTTATCCACTATGGAATTACACTATACCACAGTGACTAAATTCTATGCTTACAATTCAGTAGGTTTGGATGACGCAATTAGAAGACATAGATTATCTGAAATATTTCATGTATTGCGTTATACATTTCGAACAGTTTGGTGACACATTTATATGTTAAAAGACATAATATTAAAACGAAGGTTAAGGTCTGCTGTCAGCAAAACGTACTATGCAGCTCAACTTATCGTAGTTGAGAAAACCGAACACCTGCTGCAACATTGACTTCAACGCTGAATAAACGATTGTGTCACGGCTTTACGAATGTTCAATACTACACACTCAGATGTGATGATGATTTGTGGATGACACATTTGCTGTGTTGATATCGGAACATATCGAAGGTTTCCTCATACATATAAACTGAGTAGTAGGCGCAATCCAATTCACTTACGAGGTAGAAAATGAACAAGGAGAATTATCTATATTGGATTGCAAATTAAAATGAGGAGCATAGGGTGGTTTAGATACTGCTGTCTGCAGGAAACCAATACACTCTACCAGTTAGTAACCTTGGTGATGTGATCCAATATCGCTTAGGTCGAAATCAGTCAATTGTCTAAATAATAGAAATAGAATAATGATTAGTCGGTGGAAGGATGTGAACAGGTAGCTGGAGCACGTAAAAGAAGCACTTAGAAGAAGTGCTGATAGTTGATAATTAATGTTCTCAGTTTATTAAGAAATTCGTACGAACACACAAGAAACGAAAAGATGACAGTAACACGAGTATGAATGATAATGAGGACAAGACGAGTAGAGAGGAGTTTACATCCGATAAAGAAGGTGTATCAGGAACTTTGCATGGGATCCTCAACAAATCTGGAATTAGGGTGACATTGGGACCTACAAATTCATTCAGAGATAAACTTTGTCAGCTGGCTACAAAGTCAAGTACATAGGTCAAACTAGTTGGTCAGGGTCAATTAGATGATGAGATCATAGGAGTTTAGCTAAATGTACAATGACAGATCACAATAGGATCAATAATCCAGAATAAACTCGCCCATTCCAATGACTTTATCAACACATACAACCACACAATCGGTGAGATGAAATCACTGTACTTAAGACCAATATAATTAGGTGGAGAGAGAGAGAGAGAGACTGATTACCCATCCTCTTCATTCATCGAGTCGACCGACACCCAACACACGTAACAGGAATGATGCAACACATATGTATACCAGAGAAATGGAAAACATTTTACTACCAATCAAATCAAAGAGTATATAAGTGATAAGACTATAAAAATCACATATTGGAAGTTGTCTTCTGATCACATTGATATGATTGTGAGGAATAGTTTATGCTGGAAACACCATCCAGTAAATTATACGTTTACACAGTGTGTTATAAATCAAGTAAGCAAATCGAATATAGAATTCTGAAAATGATTTATTTCATTTCATGTTTGCTTCATAGTTAGTGGTGTAACTCTAGTCAGGAAGGATGTTTAGACATAACAATACAGTGACAAGATAAAGCAGGAACACTATTCAAGAAACAGATAGATGTTAAATGAATAGTTACATTTCTTGTGTGTTTTTGAAGTTTGATGTCTAATCCATTGAATGAATAGATTGTAATCTGAACAAATGGTAGTAATTTATATTTCAGTTGGATAAGGTTGAGTTATAAAGAAACTTTGGGGGTTGGGGTTGTCACATTGCGCAATACCTAAAAAAATTGCAGAAAACGAAAGTCAGTGGATGATCATAGATAAATACATATATATAATTGACTGTCTTGAGGTTGTTTTCTTTGAAATGTACACAGTAAGTTTCTTCACTGGCACTTACTATTCACTCCTGATTCAATTAGTTGACCTCCTCCAAATACTCATGAATTTGTAAAGGAAAGCAAACTGTATCAGGTTATTGTATAGTAGTTGTTTGTTAGTCAGCACTGTTTTTAATACATGAAATCAACATAATCGAATGGTAAAATAACAATCGACAAGTGATTTTGATGGAATTGTTAAATGACCCGATATTTGAAGTGACCGCTTAATGGAAGGTAGGGTAGATTGTAGATTGATTAATTTGTGGGGAAAAAATGTCTGTAAAATGTTTAAATCTTAACTTAGAATAAAGTAGATTAGAGTTATTGTGAGTACTGACTAGATTGTTGTAGAGACGAATATGAAGTCGGAGAGAAATTTAGGAGTTATCTTGACGCCTATGCGTTTTATTATTGATAAATTTTGACCTATGATGAGTTGAAGGAAGTGGTAATGTTGAATTTAAGAGTTGTAGGTTTTTGGTGAGTCATTTCTTATTCATCATAGACTGACATCAGTTGGAGAAACACTAGGAATCCGAGAGTACTGGAAAGCTGTCTCAACTTATTTTAGGTCTTCTCAACTATGTGCACATGTAACCTCGCCAGGGGTGGAACCCAGGACCGGAATCCAATAGTTCATATTTCCTACTTCTATCACTTCACAATGTACAGCGATTTATTTTCATCTCATGCCATCGTAGAGTAACTGTCCTTATGTCTGAATTGGTTGACCTCATCTGTCGCAGTTTCTCATTACAACTTGTGGAGTCACATGTTGAAGGTGGTCACGAAGGAGGACTGGATTTATTCATTTCTGAGGTTTGTGGGGACTTATTTATTGATTTCAGTCTGTTTCTGATAACTGTATGAAGATGACTTGTTTCTTGATTTCCTCTTGCATAATGACGTGAAAGTGATTTCCACTTTTGTCAGGATAAGCGTAAAATTATGGTTGTTTATTAGTAAGTGTAAACAAACTCTAGTCTGTTGTTTCAAGTTGTTATTCATCGTGGACTGACATCAGTTGGAGGAGCAAAGGAAATTTGTGAGCACTGGACAGCTGTTTCGTCCTAGTATGGAACTCTTCAGGTGTGCGCACCCACGACCCCGCCAGGTATCGGACTCAACTGATGTCAGTCTATGATGAATAACAGCTTGAAATATTCGCAAATCTCCACAACCTCCTCAAAATCTAGTTTCTTGTTTTTGAATATTTTCTAGTACTTAAAATGAAGCATTTTGATTTGTGTTGATTTATTTCTAAGTAATAATTTCGTATAAATGTTTCTTTAGGCCGAAAAACATCACAGAAAGGCAAAGGAACAATCTGTGGGTCACTCAAAAATGACAACACTATTATCGCATCATGATGTTAAATCGTTGACGCTAGTAGGATTTTGAAATGATTAAGAATATTTGTAGCTCATAAGGATAAATTGTTTTAGCAATATTATTTAATCTATGCTTACTTTTTGTAAAAAAAATAACTGTAGAGACTAGTATCATAATTTGATTGCCAGGTGAACAACGCTTCATAGTTTGTGGTGACAATGGCTACTATCATATCTGTCAACACTAGAATATAGGTTCCTACACCTGATGAACTCCAGATATGATAAAATTCACAACTATTATCTTTCTCATTTGACTATCTGAGATAGCCGTATTTTGGCAGACTAATATTTATACTGGGTGATGACTGAAGGTGGAATAAAAATTGTTGTAACCGAGTGATGGGGTTGAGCGCATGGGTATAATGATACTGAGACTCAATAGACACCTCAACCGAATACTTTTACGAATGACCTCTCTCAGTACCTTCTGTTTCACTGAGCCGTGGAGAAATCAAAATACAAAGACGGCCTATGACTGCAAGAACAGTGACAACTCTTATTAGGCAAATACATGACATACATGTATTCACAAAACTCTCAGAAAGTGAAGCCATAAATGAACCAATCCGATTTCTTGTATGAGGTCGAACCTCTCCAATCATGTCAGGGCATGCATAAATCATGACCCTAACATGATCTGATAATGACTTGAAAACGACTTCTCTATCGGCTGCCTTCTTGTCGCTACGTATCAAAAATCTGGGTCGCGGCCGGATTCAAACCAGCGACCACCGGGTTACCGGCCTGGTACTCTACTATCAACTCAGCTACAAGATCCGAATCCTGACCACATTTTTATTTCACTTCGATCACAAATGGGGTTGCTCTCAACTACCATGTGAATTCTTGATGCGTTACTACAGCTTGATCGTATTCACACTGGCTGCCTAGTCAGGACTTCTCATCCCAGTCCAAATGTGACTGAATCAGACAGGACGCGATCCAGATTTTCATCTCACTTTCAATCATCACCGATTATAAATACTAGTCTGCCAAACCACGGCTCTCTCGGATAGTCAAATGATAATCAATATTCAACTAGCGTGAATACGATCAAGTAGTAACGCAACGCGAATTCACACTGTAGTCGGGCGAAACTCCGACTTGTGATTGAAGTAAAATAAAATGTGGTCAGCAGTCGGACCTCGTAGCTCAGTTGGTAGAGCATCAGGCCGTTAACCCGGTGGTCGCTAGTTCGAATGCAGCCGCGGTTCAAATTTTCATCTTACCTTCAATCATCAACCAGTATATTGTCTTTCTGTTGACCACTGTTGAATAATGTTTATCACTTGTATGTTTAGATATTGTCTGTAAGCGCATCACTGTGTGATAGGTTGCTGCCTGTTTGGTGATAAAAATGGTAGAGATATACTTAAACTCTACAATGCAATACATAAATTCACTATTCTGTGGTTTGGTTTCTCTACCTCGAGGTCTCGAACCTATTGTAAATGTTCAGCAAGGCATGAAGTTGTTGTTCATTAGTCGAAGCACTCAACTTTCATTTGAAAGATTAAGATTTCTAAACTCGTCCCATCTATCCAAGGTCTGGGCAACCGTGTACGCTGAGATACATTCTCATGCTGATGATATAAAAATACGGTGTGCTAAAATATGCCAATAAAATCCTCATATCAAAGAGGAAATTCGATAATTACTTGACCGGGGTACCTAGCCTGTCAGATACTCTGATGGTGTTCACGTGACTATATGTTGCCAGATCGCCAGGAGTGATGGGATAGTACATGATCTCAGGGTCGTGTGCGAGGTTTGAAGAGAGTTGCGTATATATATATATATATATATATATATATATATATATATATATATATATATATATATATGACTCACTGCTTCCTCCGTGAAAATGTACGTGATTGCTTGATTTTATTAGATTCATAGAAGCTCAAGTCCTTATCACCTTTACAAGTTAATTCATAGAAATAAAGTGAGCTGACTTGTTCTCCAAACCATATGAAAACAAAGATCAGACTTTTATGATATCAAACTATATTCGATACCTAAGGACTGGCTCTTACAAGCCAATTACCTAGTTGATAACACCCTGATGTTTAAAGTGATGGATGGTGAGTTCTAGTCTCAGTTAGAACAATAATAATACACTGAGTAGCAGAAGCATTCAGCTGTCGAGTTACAAGTCAGTCGATAGGCACCTTATGGATTTCCTTGATAACCCTTTTCATCCCTAGTATCAAAGCATCCAATACTGGTCCACTAATTCGATTCATATTAATTAACAGTAAGAAATGACCTGTCCAAGCAGTATTTATTGATATGAGTCAGTCTATTAGAAACATCACGCATTGAAACAGTAACATTTATACTGGATAACGTCTCCGACATTATTCATATCAGGTAACTAACTCCACACCTTTGAAACACAGTTTAAATAGTCCTAATTTTCTCACCTTCTTTGTGATGACAAGGGTAGTAGAATTGTCCATATATCTCGGGAAGGTACAGAATCATTTTGATCCCATGTATTTGGTGTTGGATCGATAAACAACGATTCGGTTATCGATCTCTCTCTCTCTCTCCACTCAACTAAGTCATTTTTTAAGGCTGTCGCTCTATCCCACCCTACTGTGTGATTGAGCATAATTGATTGCAAAGCTATAGCCGAGCTTTTCTCTAAATTTCTTAATGTATTAGGATCTATTATTCTCGATTTAGCTAACTTTTTGTGCTCTGTTATTCTAATCGACTCAAATTCTCAACTTACCAATTCATATGACTTAGAGCACAGATTAGATGACATACACTCAGATGATAATGAACAAATGCTTAGTATTAACATAACTAGACATTACACAAATCTACCGATCGACATAGGTCTATAGGCATTTAGAAATGGGCTTATGGATTACAATAAACTTACGCATCGAACTAAGGTCCCGATTGAGGAAATCATTCTAGGAGTACGATTGTGCCTGACACCTACAGTTTTTAAGTTTCAAAATAAGATATATAAACAAACTGAAGTTGTTGCTAAGGGATCACTGATATCGCCTATCGTCGCAGACATATTTATGGATAGTTGGAAACAGATGGCCCTTCAAACATTTAGTCCTATTCCAAAGATATGGTTCCGATATGTAGATGATACGTTTTCAGTACTCGAATCGGAACACATCAATAGGTTCTTGGCACATATAAATCCAACAGTGAATGGAATCTAATTTATCTGTGACTTAAAAAATGATGGAAGGTGAACTATCAATGTTGGATAGCAAGAATAAACGAACACAAGACAGAAGTTTAGAGACTAGTTTCTATAAGAAACCTTCCCATTCGAACCGCTACTTAGACTTCAAATCCTCCTACCCCATTTCATTTAAAGTAGGTTTAGTTAAATGCCAAAGTGATAGGGCGAAAAAGCTTACTAGTAAACCAGAGAATCTACAACAAGAAATTAGACATATTAAGAATACCTTGCTTGTCAATATTTACCCACCAACATTTTTGAATAAATTCATAAGGTATTTATTAATGTTAAGAACTTTTTTCATTGTATAACAAATCGAGACAACTGTCAAACTATCAATCAAACAGATGTACTCACTACTACTGATTGACATACTTGTTATTCTCTGTTGTTTTGTTAGATCGAATTGTTCGACCACTATTGGCATATGGGCCCCTATGCGATGCCTCTATATTGCCTGAATGTTAATTATGATAATTTGATTGGTTGTGGCTAGTAGAAGAATCTAGGACGCGTGATTCGTCTTATTTGGGACTCGTCAGCTGAATGTACCTGCACCCCAGTGAGTGATGTTGTTCCCACTGGGACTCGAACCTCGTACCCATAGCTTGAAAAGCCAAGGCGAAATGCACTATACCAAAGAGGAACGATGACCACTCCTTGTACAACGGGTAGTCGTTATTACTATCTATTGACATACTTCTTATTCTCCGTTGTTTTGTTGAATCGAATTGTTAGACCTCTATTGTATATCCACTATCAACATTTATCAACAAAATCTATTTCATACCTAAATAATCTTTAGATTTCAGTGTAGTGATGTTACTGTAGTTTGCTCTCTAGTAACGCTTATAGCTAAGTTGTCACATAGTGTATTTCACATAACTTAGTATTTATGCAACTCTATAGATTTTCAAGCACTAGATTGGTGATATCTTAGGTTGCATAACTGATTGGTTCATTGTTGAATGTAGAAGAAAGATAGTCTTTTCTCAAAGTATTCCTTTATCCTTCAGAAAAATGAGAGATTGTTTACTGTATTGCTTTCCTTACAAACGACAATAAATACTAATATATTGTTTCCCTAAGCAAGTTTATTTTGTACTTTGACTAAATTGGTAATTAGGTTAAGAAGATAAAACTGATTAGTATTATTGTAACCTTAAAAACTGTAAAATATAGTGTACTTTAAAGATCAACTTTTAATTGACTGTAGTACCTGCAAAAAATAGTTAAGTTCATCGATAAACATACATCAGTTGACGTGTAATTTTGTTCATGACTCACTTGATGATTATTAGGTTAGTCATTCCAGTTGTGATTAAAAGTATCCATTTGAATGTTGTAATTTTAGCTGAAATGAAACAACAACAACGAACAAAAATAAATTAAGGAAAGGTGGTTATCGTGCCCCAGTGACTTAGTGGATAATGCTCTGACGTATAAAGCGAAGGGTACTATGTTCCAGCCTCAGTGGGAATAACATCATTCACTGAGGTGAAGGTAAAGCCAGCTGACGAGTCCCAAATAGGACGAAATACGCATCCTGGATTGTACTGTTAGTTATCAAGATCAATATAACATCGGGAATATTCAGCAGTATGGAGGCATACGTATAAGAGTCCTTCTGCAATTCGAGTAAAATCGAGCAATTCCTCCCTGTTTACCAACGGGAACATCAAAAGTAACATTACTACAATAATGAGAAATAAATTGAGTTAATCAACCATTATTCAAAAAATGTATATCAGAATAATGTAGATATCTTTATTTCTGCATAGAAACTGCACTAGTAATCAACTTTATTCTGTAGGCAATGAGCAATGAACATGTCGGTTCAATGATGATTGACCTGGCAGACGGAGGGACAAAACAATTCTAAACATAGCAATTTATCATTAATATTATTGTTGTTATTATTATATTATTTGTCCCTTGGGTTCCTACTAGAACATACGGATTCACTACCACGTCTCCATTCCAATCTCTTCTCTGCAATCTATTCGACCTGGATACACGACTGCCTACAACCTCTCATTTCTTCCTCACACCATCTAATCCATGTCATCCTCACCTCCCACGCCCAACTCGACCTTTCCCATCTGGGTTCCACTCAACGGCCTCGCCTCAACGTGATGTCCCCGAATGGTCTTCTCAGTGTATGCTCAGTCCAATCAATCTCCATTTCCTTCTTCTGCATTTCTGTCCAGCGATATCTTCTTGCTTCGTTGGTTCGTTGCCAGCCAGCCAACCAGAGTTCCTTGTTACTTATTCTTATTATTCTGGCATTCCGATCTGATCTTCAGTAACCAGCCAGTGTAGGCAGTTGTTCATGATTATCTGTAGTTTGTTGGAAATCCCTTTCGTAACTCGCAAAGTCTCTCCACCATCACATAGAAGCACTGACTCGACTGGATTGGTGTTGAAAATCCGGATGTTGTTCACGCTTCATGCTGAGTGTAGTGCAGTAGATCTCCACACTGATTACTTAAGAATAATGAAGGCCTGTCTCGCTTTTCCGATCCTGGATGGCTTTGACATCCTCAACTGTGCCTGTGCCGCCTCCTGTAGTTGAAATGATGCTGCCTAGACAGACAGGTAGGTGAAAGAGGCAACTTTCTTCAAGTTTCTCCAGTTCATGGTAATTGGTGCTAGTTGTTGGTGGTGGTGGTGGTGTTGGTAGTGTTGGTTGGGTACCACCATCACCTCCACCTCTGTCTTCTCTACATCCACTTGAAGTCCCATCTTCACTGTCTCACCCTGCCTCTTCTGTCAACTTGTTGGTTTTTGCATAAAGATCGTCGAGTTTGTGTGACATTGGACACGAGTCATCAGCGAAATCCAAATCTCCTAGCATCTTTTCCCCGGTCCAACGTATCCCCCTCTTCTCGCTCCTCACTGTTGTCTGCTGCATGATCCAGTCCAGTAGACCACAATCAGGAAGATCATGAGTGATACTAGGTGGCAGCCTTGTCTTACTCCTCCCTCTCTTCACTTCAAGGGCATAACTGAGCTTCCCGTTGTGAATCACTTGACATGTGACGTCTTCACATAGTTGTTGAATGTGATTGATGAGGGTCTGTGGAACTAAAACCGTAGTGTTGAAGCAGTAGCCTGACAAATTACTTCTCAGTCGACGCTATCGAACGAAGGCGTTTTCAAAGTCGATGAAGTTGAGGTGAGGTGGAGAGTTGACTACCATTCTGTGCTTCATTGTATGATGATGTGTAGCATTGTAATTTAGTCGCATATGATTTTTACTTCCTGAATCCAGCCTGTTCCAGTAAACTTAGTAATGGTTTAGCAATATTCTTTTAACGCTTACTTACTAATGCACACTTAGAGTAGTTAGAGAGATGGTAGAGATCTATACAGCTGAGGATAAGCTGGATGGTAATTTGGTTTCTCTTGAGTTTTCATAATTTGGCTTGTTAATTTCGTTACCAGACTTAAGGAAATCAGCAGCCACCAACTGTAAATATCGCATGAGTGTTTATGAAGTGTTCACTGACTTTGACTATTGTCTAATTTTAGGTCGTTGAAAATATCTTGGATCATACGTTGATCGATTTGAATCTTGCATTTCACTCAGTCATGTTCGTACAGAATTCCTCTTGAGGTGAAATCGTGTTATTTGTTACTGCTAAATTGTGCTTGATTATTGATTTGTTTAGATCATTTTCCCTGGGTTGATGGATGCCTTTTTAATCTACATCCATATGCCTGTTGATTCGCTTTTAAGTTGGAGTGCTATGTCTCTAGAAGTTTTCTCGCAGCTATTGAACCTGATCTTTAGAGGATCTACACCTTTTCCTAATCGAACTTTGGTCATAATTGTCAGTTTGCAATGTAACGAAAAAGGTTTCGTCATGTTACTTCACTGGTAGTTGGTGTTCATGAATTCTGTGATCAAACGACAGCTAGGTTCGCCAACATAGTATTGTAAACAATCTCTGAAGCTGATTTGGCAAAAGACTTTGTAACTTGCATGAAATGTTTTATAGTGATTACATTGGTTTGTGTGCCATTCCAAAACGAAATTGAAAAAGCGATTAGTTGACTGCTTCTAGGATCTTCTCGATATAGGAGTAGAGAAATAGACTCATTCAGTGGAAGGTATTCATACTATCCTATTTTCTGGTGATAATTACTTCTTGATAAAGTTGAATCGATAAGCATTGGCTTTAAATGATCTGAACAGACAGTTTTCTTCTGCTTCCCATACGGCTATGTGTCTTAGCATCTGAGTATAAGTGTTTACCTACATCATTTCTGATAGATATTTGTGCAACATTTGGATATCTTTCACTTCTTGTTGAAATTAATGCTGAGAATATCATCAAGTTGTTGGTAATGAAACGTCTAAGACAAAATATAAAGTCTAAAATAACAGATAATCATTATTAGGGTAGTTAAATTTTAACATTTTGGAGGAAGTGAACATTTACAAGTAACAAGTGAGAAAACGAGAGAACATTTACAAATTTTTTTTAATCTTTCTATTTGTTTAACAAGTTCAATATATCCAGACACAAATAAGTAGGGAAATATAAATACGCAACCGATAAAATAGAACTTACCGTGGTTACTGGTTGTTCTTTGATCTGTCAGTGCTTGCAATTAAAAGGAAAGACATAGGGATAGTAGGATACATAGTATGGTTATAACTCTCCAAGTGTAATATAAGATTAAAAGTTTTATGTCTTGGTGATATTCGAAGATGAATTAGGAACTTAGGTAACGTCAGGTTTCGAAACTGCTACCTCTGGGTTACCGGATTGGTGATCTAACAATTGACCTAATATGCGGATGTTTCAATATGGTTTGAAGATTAGTTATAATATATTTCGATTATTGGTGGTTAACAGTGGAATCCAAAATGTGTATTCTATTCTATTCGACCTCCATACCAGTGAGTGATCTTTAGATAATACCGAGACATCCATTCAAGAGGCAGCATACCGACACAGATCGATCAATTCGGTCCAATAAAACAATCAAAGCAAAGGTAGTAGTATCAATAACTAGCAAATCTAAGCTTGTTTAAATTTATCTTCGTAGTCTAACAAACGGTCACTCTATTTAGTAAGTTATTAAGCTCCTGTAGTGTAGTGCGCGTTGCTGATAAGAATGGATATAAGTAGTATATGTTGACAGGGTGACAGAAATCATAGGGAATTACCAGCAATGGGTAAAGATTCCGCCAAGAGAAACGCAAGAGAAAAGACAGGCGTATGAAGGGCAAGTCCAGAAAAAAGAAGAGGAGGAAATGAAGTGTATTTTGCAAATGACGGCTTTGGTGCAACGTGTACCATATTTAACGACTACTGTCCCACTTGTTGACAGTAGAGATTCTTTCCTGGATACCTGTCTTTTTATTCTTTCAGGAGTGTTTGAGTAGCATAGATTCATATGATTAGCTTTGCAAAAAAAATAGCAATTTCTTGCTAAATAAAAATAAATGTAAATAGACACTCAATTTACCTCATTTCCTGTTAGCTCCAAAAGTGATTTTCATGTCAGATGAAAGTGAGACAGGGTTTCTTTGAATGTTTCCTTAACTAAAACGACACTTAACTGGTTTCAGATGATTTTTGTCGTAGTTAAAGCAACTTATTAATTCGTCAAAGGTGGTTATTATGAACTATTAATGTAAGTTTCATCAACAACTGACTACACTGGCTCGTTACTGAAGATCAGATCGGAATGCCAGAATAATACGAATAAGCAACAAGGAACTCTGGTTGGCTGGCTGGCAACGAACCAACGAAGCAAGAAGCTATCGCTGAACAGAAATGCAGAAGAAGGAAATGGAGATTGATTGAACTGAGCATGCACTGAGAAGACCATTCGGGGACATCACGTTGAGGCGAGGCCGTCGATTGGAACCCAGATGGGAAAGGTCGAGTTGGGCGTGGTAGGTGAGGATGACATGGACTAGATGGTGTGAGGAAGAAATGAGAGGTTGTGGGCAGTCGTGTATCCACGTCGAAAGGACTGCAGAGAAGAGAGTGAAGTGGAGAAGTGGTAGTGAATCCGTATGTTCCATCAGGGAACTCAGGGGACAAATAATATAATAATAATAATAATAATAATAATAATAATAATAATAATAATAATAATAATAATAATGTAAGTGCTAAATTTTGGCATTGTGGTAGATTTAAATTCCACATTATGGTGACCCGCTTGAATCCTAGGTTACTAAATTTATCCATCAAACATTTTCCACCATATTTTCTCCTTTCAATTTGTTTTAATCATTTAAATATACGCTTTGAACGTAGCATGTACTCTTGGACATTTTCAACTCTCCGTTTCTTTAGTCAATAAGAAAGCAATGAAAAAATGTTA